TGGCAGCGGGCCCTGGCCGGGGGCGGGGTGGGGGGACCGTGGCAGCCTCCTCACCCTCCTGACCCGCAGGGTGCTCGCCCGCCCCACCTGCCCCCACGGTCCTTGAAGGCCCAGGCCTGGTCTAGCGGCTTTGTGCCTGGCCTAGAGGTGGTGGCTGTAGCAGAAATGGGGGGCCGCTCCTGCACCCCTTAAAAACAAAACAACCGGTTCTTTCCCCAGCAAAATGGATTTAGTGGGGCAGAGCAGAGGAATTGCAATTCGGGACGAGCAAGCTATTGCAAAAAACCATAGGCAAGTCCGACCAGGAGGGCACTGGGAGGGGTCGTTCTGAAGGAAAGTCCATTAAAGGAAAGTGGGAGTTCAGGGCGCTGACAGCTTCTCATTGGCTTAGTTGCTGGGCAACAAGGAAATCTTCCTCCGGGGGAGTAGTCAGGGGGCACCCACTCGTATTGACAAGTCTTCCCGGTGGGGTGTGTATTGACTTAGAGGGTAGTGCCTGAGGGCTCCCCCTTCTGGCCTCCCGACTCTAAATGAGGGTTCCCTTTACTTTCACATTCCTATTGGGCTAACTGGAAGGAGGTGGGCTCCCCCACCCTTTAGTGAGGCCAGTCTAGCCCTGTCGATGGGACCAAGTTAGCTGTGGCCTTCCGGGTGGTATGCATTTACCTACACTTTTCACTTTCCCTTGATTCTCTCTCGCCATTTCCCCAGGAGAAATAACCATACCCACAATTTTAAGAAACACCCTGGAAACTCCAATTGCCCCCAGGTTAAAGTCTCAGCCTCAACGGAATGTACTAGATGTACCGGTTAATAATGCAGATTTTTTTTTCCAGTAGATGGAGTTACACATATGTTGATATATATGCGATTTGATATGTATGCTATTTTGTTGTATTGACAACAAGCTTCAAAACTTTACATGTCAAGTTTTCTGAAGGTGTTAATATCATAGATATTTTTACACTTAAAAATGTCAAATTTCATGCCAAAAAAAGAGCATTTGTGGGAAGTTTTAACTCATTACTTTATTTTGAAGAAAAGTGTTGCTGAAAGTTATCATATACTTCGGGAAGCTTATGGTGAACATGCTCCATCTCAAGATACTTGTGAACGCTGGTTTAAACGCTTTAAAAGTGGTGATTTCGATGTGAAAGACAAAGAACGTCCAGGTCAACTGAAAAAGTTTGAAGACCAACAATTACAAGCATTATTGGATGAAGATGCATGTAAAACTCAAAAACAACTTGCAGGAAGATTAAACGTTGCTCAGCAAACAATTTGCGATCATTTGCAAGCAATGGGAAAGATTTTAAAGGAAGGAAA